GGAGGCTGAAGGGTTAGGGGTCTAGCTGACTCAAGAGCCACAGTGGGTGCTGGGAATCAGCAGTGGGGAGTTTCTGCTTTTTTTTCAGTGTCTTCTTTGTCCAGTCCTTGGTCACTTGTGGTCTTCTCCTCCTGTGGCAGGTTTGGTGCCTTGGAAATGAGTCTCGCTATCACATCAACAAGACAGTAGATGGAACGGTCCATTCGACAGTCTTGCTGGGCTTGGTGCCAGGGATGGTGTACCGCACCGAGGTAGCAGCAGCCACCAGCGCAGGTGTTGGAGTGAGGAGCGCCCCAGTCACGATACAGATCAGTGAGTACCCAAAGGTCACCCGTACCAGTGTTGGGAACACTTACTCTTCTGGATTACCCATGTTGACTGGGGGACTCCGGGAACTGTCGTCCAAAACAGTAATGTTTGCAGACTTTGTTCCAGAAAGAGAGGCTAATCGATGGCTGTAGGGAAGGCCTGCCTGTATAGCCACGTTTTCAGATTGGTCTTAAAGGCCTTGAGGAGCGCCCCAGTCACCATACAGATCAGTGAGTACCCAAAGGTCACCTGTACCAGTGTTGGGAACACTTAACTCTTCTGGATTACCCGTGTTGACCTGGGGACTCCGGGAACTGTCGTCCAAAACAGTAATATTTGCAGACTTTGTTCCAGAAATCCATAGGTAAAAATAAGGCCATCTCTTTTCTGTGCAGTCCTGCTTGTCCACTTATATCAGCTAGAAGAGGGGGCTTCTCCTACTCCTTTCTGTGAGTTGTTCCAGAGACGAGGGGCCACTGCCGTGAAGGCCCAGTTTTTAGTTTTTTCCTACCAGGCTTATCTTGGCATTAGGCCCCTCATCCTAATGCAGGTGATACAGGCAGAACTAGGTGGAAGAAGGTGCTCTGCCAAGTATCGAGGGCCTGGACCATTTAGGGCTTTATGTGTACATAATAGTCGACATCTTGAAATCGATGCGGAAGCGAATAGGTAGCCAGTGCAAGGCAGCCAAGGTGGGGGAAATATGGTGGAAACGTTTCACCCCAGTTAATAGCCTGGCCACCTTATTCTGGACCCCTAATAATGTGAGGCTGCAGACTGTTTACTTCCTTAGTTTGTGTGTCAATCCACATTGAACAGGAAGGAACGGACATTGATCAAGCTCCTTGTCTCTTATTCCGGATGCTTTTTGCCTCCCATGCTTGCTGCAGAGCCCTTGCCAGACCAGGACACTGTGCCGGTGAGCAGCGGGGACGTGAGCCTTGCCGAGCAGATCACAGATGTGGTGAAGCAGCCAGCCTTTATAGCGGGCATCGGAGGGGCCTGCTGGGTCATCCTCATGTGCTTCAGCGTCTGGATCTACTGTCGTCGGAAGAAGAGAAAGGAGCTGAGTCACTACACAGGTGAGGCAGGCCCAGCTTTTATGACATCTGCTCTTGCTCTCTCAAGGGTGAGTGTAACTTGGTTACAAAGTGCCATAGGTGAGATGTTGCTGTATAATATGTATGTTGCAGGACCATGGACAGCTCCAAGCCAGTGATTTACTCCAATGTGGCTAAAGCTTGATTAACGTTTATTGTGGTTGGAGAGCCAGATTGCCCCCTTCAGACTCTACCCCTTCCTTGACAAGTGGGACATCTTAAAGGGACAGGCATTGAACTTGAAGTGTAGGATAGAGATGGTGGTATTCGTATTTGTATATCCCTGTTCAGCAGGTGTTAATGTTAATTGGGGGGGGGGTTCCCACCCTGGGACCAAACTGTCCACTCACACATTCACCGCTGCTGGCCCTGCTCATCCTTCCAGTTGCTCCCAGATGCCATTCTCTTCCCGGTTGTCTAGCATTGAACTTGAAGTGTAGGATAGAGATGGTGGTATTCGTATTTGTATATCCCTGCTCAGCAGGCGTTAATGGCGGGGGTGGGGTCCCACCCTGGGACCAAAGTGTCCACTCACACATTCACCACTGCTGGCCCTGCTCACGTTCACTCTGGCTCCGTGGGGATATCCGGGAGGGAGGATGAGTCTCCCTGCAAGGCTCCCGAGTGGCTAGCCGAGCAGCACTCCAGAACAATTGGAAGGAAGAGAGGGGCCACCGGTGGACCTGTGAGTGAATGGTCTGGCCCCAGGGGCTGCGCCCTCGTTCACTCTGGCTCCGCGGGGATATCTATATTCGTATACGAATATCCCCACCTCTAGTGTAGGATGTTCCTTCTTTCTCCTCTGGGGAGAATGCCTTCCAAACTAGTTGTCTTTGCGGAAGAGCCAGTACAGGAGCTTGAGTCCTTGGCCGAGAAGTCTGGTTCCTTGTGGAGGGCAGGCTCTTGAAGGCACAGATTCCAGAAGTCCCATTTCAGTGTCCCTGGTTCAAAGGCCCCGATTCCTGTAGATTCAGACCCAGTTGCGTTGCTGAGGTTTGCGTCGCTGCCAGCCCAAAGGATCTATCCAGGCCCACCTCACCAGAGTCAGAGTCCAAGCTCAGGTGCAGGTCCTGATGCTGGCTCGGCTCCTGACAGGCAATCCCTTTCCAGGGTCCAGGACAGAGGAAGTCTTCCCAGTCACCTGCTCCCTTCTAATTAGAGATGGCACAGATCTGATTGTATGATGCTCTGCATGCAGTGCACATGCTTTGTCACTCAGCTATGCCCTCGTCATGTGCCCCTGATCTATGCCTAGCTCTGCTGACTACAGATTTGACTTGCTCTGCACTGCCTCATTTTTTTGCTTGCTTTTCTTTGCAGCTTCCTTTGCCTACACTCCAGCAGGTAAGGCTTCTCTTCCAGGCCCTTCCTTCACATTGCTTTCCATTCACGCCCAACCCTTGTTTGGAGAGTTTTGGCAAAGTGTGCATTTCTCTCCTACTGTTCCCAGAACTCTCTGGCCCAGGCAGCAGCTGCCTGAAAAGCCCTGGGCACTGTTAGTGCAAGAATTCCCTTTTCTCCTCCCCCCCAAAAGCTCCTTTTCTTCCCCAAGAATCTGCTTCTGACGTAGTGGTGGTCTTCTCTCTTTCAGTATCTTTTCCCCATACAGACGGGCCGGCCCGTGGCAACAGCAGGTGAGTGTGGAACAAAGATCAGGAAGACTTTTGTTGAGTTTGCATTTTGATAGGAATTTCACTCCCCTTCCATCGACATGTAAGCCAAAATGCAGCAGCTGCAATTCAGAAGTCACACATCACAACATCCCACAGTACAGTTCTCTGAATTAAAGAGGCATATAAAGATGTCTGTGTTAAGGGCAATTACACAAGAATATGTGGATAATGAAGGCAATGTCGAAGAAAGAATTACAGAAAGGAAGACCAAAAAAAGAGGACACATTAGGCAAAACTGCTTATAAAAATGTGTATGTTCAGCAAAAGCGTGTCTTAAAAGAGAGAAACTGAAGAAACAAATCAGGTGAGAAGTCTCCCAGAGTCACCAAATAATCTAGGCTTTCTGACTCCTACAGCCGGCCTGGCATGCTTGCGATGGCCACTAGTGCCTCCAGCTATCCGTGGCTGGCTGATTCGTGGCCAGCCCCGAACCTGTTGCGGAATGGGAAGGCAAAGGAGCCCGGAGGGGCTTGCTGCCCAGGAAGCCACAACACAACCGAGAGATACTACAACGGTAAGACCAGAGCACAGAAATGTTACCTTTTTTTGTACCACAGGGCCCAAAATCTCCAGACGCCGTGGCCTCTGCCGCATGGTCCAAATAATGATTTCTCTAGGCCGTGATGCCTTAAAAAGCCCCTTAAGAAGGAAGCCAAAATGAACAACTGGTGAGCTGAAGATAAACATGTGCAAACAGCCAATATGGCCTGTGGGTATTACAGGGGATTGGAATAGACATAATTGGTTTAGTCATTTAGTTTCCAGAAGAGAGGAAGCTGGCGGGACACCCAAAGTAGACTTTCCAGGTCATGACCTCGCAGAAGAGTACTGACCAGGTTTGTAAGGATGAGCGTCTCCCTTGAAACCTGGATTAGAGCTAGTCCTCCAAATGCAAGGGGTGCAGAAAGTCAAGGCAAACAGACTCTGCTGTCGCTGAGCAGGAAGGCCCCTTCAAGCAGGGTCACCGCACATCTCCCTGTTTGCAGATGCTGGGATTTCCAATTACATTGCACAGACGGAGAAGTTTGGGACAGGAGTGTCCGATGGGCCCATTTACAGCACCATTGACCCGGCCAGTGATGACATGAGGACATTCAACGGGGCCTTTTCCCAGCATACCACTCCCTATGCCACAACTCCCGTCGTACCATATGGGGCAACACATCTACCGTCCCCTGATGAAGAGGAAAGCCAATGGAGCGCCCAGCCTGGGATCTCCAGCATCCAGTATGCCCAGCCCGAACGGAGTCGGGCAGAGACCGGTAGGATCCTTCGGCACACAAGATCCTTCCTCTCTTTTAAGTGCCTAGATGGTCAGGCTATTTTAGTTTCACATCCTCACCTTCAGTGACTTAAGTCTCAGGAGAGACCAGTCAACCTCTTACAGGGAAAAAGATATTCTGTACAAAGCTGGGGAACTACCAGACACTGGTATAAGCCTGTAAGGCTGTACTGGAACCCAAGGGTGGGGTTCTCTCAGGGGCCCCAAACACCCAGGTGTGGCCCCCCCAAGCCTGTGGTTTATCACTTTTGCCTTAGGCATTGACCCTTGGCAGTGTTTGGAGGTGGCTTATCTGACTTCTTTCTCTCTCCATAGCTGTAAAGCCTGGGAAACAGAAATCGATGGGAAAGCCAGTGAAAACGCCGTCCCTCAACTGGACCGAAGTGCTTCCCCCGCCACCGTCTGCCAGTGAACTGAGCCAATACGTGGAGGAAGAAGAGGAAGAAGAAGAAGAGGAAGAGCTAGAAATTGGGTTAGTGCAAAAAGAAGAGCAGAACTTAGGATTTCATTGAATTATCATAGGATTCTATGATGGGGGGGCAGGATGGGGAACCTCATGTGCTCCTGCTGAAAAAATCTAGTTCATTCCCTGTATGTAGATCAGAGGTGGAAGAGTGGTGCCCGCCCTTGCCAGAAAGGACCTACCTGATGGAGAACATCCAGGAGGAGCCATGCCCTCCGCCTCCCCCACGTGGCGATGCCTCCTCTCCCGCAAATTCCTACGGGCAGCAATCGACCGCCACGCTGACCCCCTCGCCCCGGGAGGAGATGCGAGCGTCTGAGGACATTCCCAGGCTGCACCACTTTGAGATCCCACACCTGCCCAGGTAATGAGCCACTTGCAAAGCATGTGATCCCATCAATGAGAGTCTCTAACAGGCCGCCTCGCGCTTTCAGCCCTTCATTGCTTCAGCCCTCTGGTCCAGATCAATTGTCTTGACTTTCTTCTGCTCGACTGTGTGCAAAAGCTATCAACTGTGGAACACACTTGTCCTCTGTTGCTGCAGAGGGCAGGATTCGATCCAGTGGGTAGAAGTGCAGGGAAACCGATTTCAGCCAAAGACAGGTTTCCTAAAGTTCAATCAAACTCCCTTTTCTTATTCTTTAAACCCCTGAGCTCAGCTCCCATCCTCAGGAGAAACAAAAGGATTTTACGCACCAGTCTTTCAGGTCATTAAAAGTCAGCGTTAACTTGCCTTGAGAGTCTAATGCAAGCTCAACATTCCTTGTGATTTCAACTTTTCTCATAGAACTTGTTCTCTGGGCCTCCGTTGCCCTCCTTCCAGTTTGCCAACATTTCCATCACAAATAGTGGGCAAAATCCAGTCTGGTGCAAAGCAGATTTGAGTGCTGGAAATAATCAAGTGAATTGAGTTGAAAGTTTCCTATTTGCTTTATCCACCCCTCACTAGGTAAAGGTAAAGGTTCCCTTTGACAATTTTTGTCCAGCCGTGTCCGACTCTAGGGGGCGGTGCTCATCCCTGTTTCCAAGCCATAGAGCCAGCATTTTGTCCAAAGACAATCTTCCGTGGTCACATGGCCAGTGCGACTTAGACCTCGAACTCTGCTTACCTTCCCACCGAGGTGGTACCTAATTATCTACTTGCATTTGCATGCTTTCCAACCGCTAGGTTGGCGGGAGCTGGGACAAGTGACGGGAGCTCACTCCGTCGCGTGGATTCGATCTTACGACTGCTTGGTCTTCTGACCCTGCACACAGGCTTCTGCAGTTTAGCCCGCAGTGCCACCACGTCCCTCACTAGGACTCTCAAAAATTGGCACTGGGGGTTCCAATCCCGGCAATGGTGATCTGGAAGCAATTTTTGACTATTAACGATTTCCCTCCTCACCCGGAGACTCCCAAAAGGCTTGCCGAGGGAAAAAAAGGGCGTCCCAGGGAGGCTCAGAACCAGAAAGGCAGGGTAAGGAGGTTTCAGTTCACTGAAATTGATTATTTCTGGCACCCACATGCAATTTACGCTTGAGCTAACTATGCGAACAGAATTATTTTCAAATTGAAGACTTTCTGCAAAGGGGAGTTGTAGGCTGGGCTGGCATCTACACATGCCCAGGATTGTACACACTTTGAAATCCCACTGTGGAAATGCAAAGCTTTTGACTGAATGGAGCATTCGACTTCCTAAGACCCTCAGCTTTTAGAAAAACGAAAAGGGAAGTTGCTAGTCATGCTGAGTGACTAGAGGTTTATAAGTATCTGCTGTATTGTTCACAAAAGCAACCCAGCGGTATTTGGTAGTGCCGTATAAGGCACTGATTTCTGATTTCATTGTTATTGCAAAGTCTGTGGACAGCCCAGACGAGGAGCTGATCTGGCTGTCCTGTCGTCCTCATCTGATGCCTCTTGTTTTCCAGGCGGTTGCCCAACGGCTCAGGACCGCTGCCCAGGGCTTCCAGTCCTCCCTTGACTCAGTCCAACCCAAACCTAAATGTGCCTGAAGAGGGAACGGAACATATGGTTGGCAGGCAAGGTCATCACCGAAACCTGAGTCAGACACCAGGACAAAGTACAGAGAACGCGGACCCTCCAGGAGCTGGTGAGTGCCTCTTCCGTAGCAGTGGATGGAGAGTGACCGTGCAGAGCCATAGTTAGGACTGGGGAGACTAGAGGTCAAGTGCCTACTTACTCAGGAAGTTCTGCCCTTACCTCTCAAGGTTTTGCAAGGATCAGATGGGAAGCGGACAGTGCCAGGAGCTTTTTGAAAGAAGGGTGCAGCAGACGTATGACAAACCAATGCATGGGACCAGCACGTCTTCCACTTGTGTTTCTATTAGTGATATAATCCTTCTTAGCTTTTGGTATCTGTCCCCAAGGATGCTGTGGCAGAGAAGGAACTTGTCATCACCCAGTGGCTTTCTCCCTCCAGTGATCCACTGGCCTTAGTCTTCGGCTCAGTGGCTAGGTTCTTGGTGGCCAGCACTGAGATGTGGGGAGGGCGGAGGACGCCTCCGACCGACGGTCTCTGATTCTCATATTGGGCTTCTCTGACAGGCAAGCCCCATCCCAATGTAGGGGACATGCCTCTCCCTCCGGGACAGAAAGGGAGAGGCAAGAAGAAATCCAAATCCAGCCACTACCGTCGGGAGAAGAAGCAGGGAGGCAAGTATGACGGAGGTGCTGCACAGCTGACTTAACAATGCTTTCCCCCTTTTTCGGCATCCTTAATCACACCTGCAGAGCCTTGCATGCTGAAACCTCACACATGCCTAGGCTCTGTGTGCAGGTTCTGGTGAATGGTGGAGACTGGGGAACAGGGGCAGCCGGCCTCTCCACCCTTATCCCTGCCAGGAACACAGGCGCTGATTGCTTTTGGGGATGAACATGTGGAGGTCAGATCCCTTGAAGCAGAGAGTTGGGGGGGGTTCCGACAACTTTCATCTGTAAAAATAAAACAACAGCAACAACAACAAATCTTCCCAGGGTCTAGCGCAGCAACAGTTAGAAAATTGGCTTGCTAGCTGGAATCACCGATTGCTGATAGGGAGTGACTGGGAAGAAAGGAAATATCCTTGGCCTTACTTGTAAAGACTGGGAGATGTCCATGGAGGCAGAGGGAGCGTCAGTGAGCCTTGTGAAAATACGTGGCTGCTGGCTGTCTTTGCTGACTTTAGGTGATTCGCACTGTGGCGGCTGGCCAGACAAGGAGCATGCGCCCACCCGTGTGTGCCTCCTGAGAGGTCTCCGGTCTTTGCTGCTACTTCCTGATTATTTCAGGTTCTTCATTTCCCTTTAATGTTGAGGGGAGTTTCAGAGTAACAGGCTGCCTTGCCTAAATTAACACTAAGAAGTACAACACTGAGAAATCAGTATACATTGAATAGCCTTACCCTTTGGAAATCCACACAAGTGTTTCTGGGAATGCAACCCTAGCATATATAGCATTATAACCAATGGCTTACATGCAATCCTGAACACAATGGGCCAGCCATACCTGGGAGGAAGAGGCATTGACTACAGGCACAGATATATAACAGTGTATGCTCAGATGCCAAGAGGCATGGCTGCCTAGTGTTAGGAGCATGGTGATGTGGCACGGCTCTACATCCTGCTGATGAGCCTAAGGTGTGAGGGCTGCTTCTGAAGAGGTTTGGCCAGAGCCTGAGAGCAATGTACTATAAGTAAAGTCATCATGTGTAACAAGCTACTTTTGAGGGGAACAAGCGTGGAACGCCATTATTCGAGGAAGGACTGCCAAAGGGTTGGAATTCATTTTCTTTTCTAGTTAACAAGAGCAGAGTTTTCCTTCTTAGTTGTTACTGGGATGTGGCCTCAACATAGAGAAAGTTGTGGTCAGAAAAATAAGTTTTCTGAGCTCCGCATTGCACAGAATTCAGTATTGTGGAGCTCTCAAGTTCCTAGCCTTCAAGCCGTGTTGTGGTTGTGGCTGTATCCTTAAATGCATGTGGGAAGCACTGAGGGGGTATCTCAGGAGTCCTGTGGAAGGAGGACACTTATAGTTTTTCCCCCTTTGATTCTGACTCCAGATCTCCCGCCCCCACCCTTGCCGCCTCCCGCAGAAGACCTCAACATCTGCGTTCCAGATGGCGCTCCACGACTGGACTGTGACCCTTCCTCCCTGGCTAAGGAGGTGAACTGCACCGCAGCCCTGGAGCGGAAAGCCATCCACCGCACTGCAGCAGGCCAGCACTACCACCAGCACCGAGATGGTAATACTGGCCACTGATCCAGAGTAAAGCACCATCCATAGATATGCCCCAGTTCACATTAATGGCAAAAAGTTTCTGCCATCTAAGGCATTCTGGAACAATTTGCACTTGATGGAAGATTAGGATTAGGGAGCCTCTTGGAGATTCAAAGGGAAAGGTCTACAGTGTCATCTTGCAAGTGTTCCTTCCTGCAAGTTATTATTGGTGGACCAAGATTGAGGATTAGCAAATGAGGAAGAGATACCAGAATCAGCCTACTTTTTCTTAAGATCTACTTGGAAAACCTAGACCCCATCATGTCCCTCTCTGATTATTTGTTAAGAAAATGTATATTCTGTTTTTTGATTGAATGGTCGTCAACACAATTTACAACTGATTGCAGTAACACAGACTTAAGTGTACTCCAGCAATCTTTAGCTCCTTGCCCAAATGGCTAGGGTTAGAGTGTGCTTCCCTTCAGCTCTGAAGGTATGAAAGAATTGCCTCCTTCCATCTTTCCCAATCAGTTGCTCAGAACTATCCCAGTTTTAAGGAACCCTAGGATGTTTAGTTTCTAGGGTAGAAAAATATGTCATAAACCTCTGGTGCTCTGGGAAAGTGACATTGTGACCCAAGTGGTTGCCATTATAGCATTCAAGGCAGCAGGAGAAAAGTGAATGCATCTAGGAATATGATCCAAGCTGAAGAAGAATCTCTGGTTTGAAATGGCATATCAGAAGCTCCAAAACCAATCCTTGCAAGCTGACATTTCCATAAGCAACTACAGTGGTGCCTCGCTTTACAATCGCTCCGTTTAATGACAAAACCGCATTACGACAAACTTTTTGCGATCGCTTTACGATGTTTCCTATGGGGGAATTTCACTTTGTGATGATCGGTTCCCTGCTTCGGGAACCGATTCTTCGCAAAATGATGATTTTCAGACAGCTGATCGGCGGTTTCAGAATGGCCACTGGGTAAACAAAATGGCCCCCGCTGTTTTCTGGGACGGATTCCTCACTGCACAGGCAGCGAAAATGGCCACCCCATGGAGGATCTTCGCTGGACGGTGAGTTTCCAGCCCATCGGAACGCATTACAACCCCTTTAATGCGTTCCGATGGGCTGGAAATTCACCATCCAGCATTAAACGTTCCAGATCTTCGCTGGACGAAACGGGTTTTAATGCGTTCCGATGGGCTTTTTAATTTCGCTTTATGATGTTTTCGTTCTACAGAGATTTCTCTGGAACAAATTAACGTCGTAATGCGAGGCATCACTGTAATGTCACATCATCAGTAGTTATGCCAGTGCATTCTGCCACTTCAGGAACATCTAAAATGGCCCCATTGTCTGAGTCATGTACTGATGTCCTTTATCATATAAACTGTGAGATCTGCGAGCCTGGTTCCCCGTAATGAGTTCAGAACACTTGGTATGTTCTTAGCTGCTTTTTTGCCTGGACAAAATTCTTTCCTGGGATTGGTGGACCATTATGGTGGTTATTTGGCCTGCCTGTGCTTTTCCCATTGCACAGGCAGCTGTTCCAAATGCAAAATGACAGCAAAGAGACTGTAAAACTAGAGCCTGCTGGACTAACCAGCTGGTTATATTTAACTTTAAATATATATCTTTTTGTTCTAACAGAAGAGGAAATCATCCCGTATAGTAAGCCGAGCTTCCTTTCCAGAAGTCAGGTGTCAAGCAATTGTTCTACAACAGGGAGTTCTTCTTCCAGAGGATCAACAGGATCTAGAGGTCATGGGTCAGGACGCAGCCGGACAACAGGGGATCGTGGCGAGGTGATGCTGTAGCACTTCCTGTGCTCTTATTTTTGGGGTGGACACTTCCGAACATGGGGAGACCCAGAGTCAAAATAAGGCATCCCCCAGCATTGGGGATGGAGATCACCAAATGTTTTGGAGCACAGCTGTCATAGTCCCTTACCATTACCCACACCAGGGCTGGGGGATGATGGAAACTCTAGACTAAAGCATCTGTGTAGCACTTCCTGTGCTCTTATTTTTGGGATGGACACTTCCGAACATGGGGAGATCCAGAGTCAAAATAAGGCATCCCCAGCAGTGAGGGTGGAGATCCTTGGCTCACCAAATGTTTTGGAGCACAGCTCTCATAGTCCCTTACCATAACCCACACCAGGGCTGGGGGATGATGGAAACTCTAGACTAAAGCATCTGGAGAGCCAAAGACTTCTACACTCATACTTGCACAGCTGTCAGCGGCCCAAAAGCAGCCACTGGGACTCTTGATTTGGTTCGGAACTGCCATGTAAGGGGAGTGGAGCTAAGCCTATTTCCCGTACCAGTTCTGTGGTTCAGATTTCTCTCCCATTGTGCCTCTTCAGGACAGAGGAAATGTAACAAATTCAGTTTCTGGAGCTACGTGTAGCTCATGTCATCTCTAAAAACAGTAGCTGACATCCTCTTGGCTCAGATGTACACCATCAGAAGCCGATGATGTCATCAACCAGCATCAGTAAAATTTTACCTGAATTAATAGAAGGCTTCCTACCCCCTTTTCTTCAGGGGCCAATGCTCTTCCGAGGGCTCCTGTTTGTCTCTATTTCCCGTACCAGTTCTGTGGTTCAGATTTCTCTCCCATTGTGCCTCTTCAGGTGCCAATGCTCTTCCGAGGGCTCCCTTTTGTCTTAGGAGGAAGCCTTTGGGAGCCTAAGGACGTAAGAGGATCTTGCCCAATGTCTTAAGAAAACCACATCATGAGAGAGGGTGGTTTGTAATTGGGGATTGTTGTTGGACAAGCAGAGGGTCAACGGTCATCCCTTCCCCTTGAACCACACTTTTGATTCCTGATTTCTCTCTCCTTACCCTGCAACTTGCTATCCCAAAGCAGAGTTCAAGCATTACCATTGGAAATTGAAGTTCTAGAATAGAAAGTCTCGTCCTGAAAGGCAATTATGACTTGAAGTGGCTGGAATCAGGGGAGAATTCAAAAGTTAAGCAGAGGAACGGAGTGATTAGCGAAGCAGTTTGTTTACATTTTTATTCATTAGATTTATAAAGTTGTATATTCTCTGGCTGGCAAATGCTTAGAGCGATGTAGGATAAAACAGTCACATTTCACATGAAATAGAAGAGCCAAACCATCTATGCAATGATTAACATGAAAGAGAGAAAAACTTGAGAAGCCTGATGGAACAGGGCAGGCTTTACTGCCCATCTAAAGAAGAATCAGCAGGAAGCCAGTTGTGTTTCCTTTAGCAGGGAGTTCCACAGACATGGTGCTGCTACCCAAAAACCTTTCCTTTAGCAGGGAGTTCCACAGACATGATGCTGCTACCCAAAAGTACCCACCAGTCTAACTTCTCTGGGTGGTGAGACATGTAACAGGACTTTCAGTCATGATCGTAAGTTGCAAGCAGAGGTGGTCCTTCAGATATCCTGGTCTAAAGCTAAAGCTTTTTCATGGCGTCTCAGCCTCAGAACTGATGCATCTAAAAGGAGAAAATGCATCTTGTCTGTGATGAAATCAGGAATGCTCAATGAAAGCTTAGGCCAAATTAGTATTTGAGGTAGCACAGGACTCTCTTTTTTGTGCTGCAACAGACCCTTGGTATGAACCAGAGGGTAGCTGTTTTCCGAAACTTGACATTCTTAATTGCCTCGTAAAAGTTCTACATTGCCAGTTAATGGTCTCACCCCAACCCTGATCTGCAATACAGTGGTGCCTCGCTTAACGAGCGCCCTGTTTAACGATTTGTTTTTTGCGATCGGAAAAGCGATCGCGTTGCAATGTTTTCAATGGTAAAAAATTGCTTTGCGACGCATAGCAGTGTTCTAAAAACAGCTGATTGGTGGTTCCAAAATGGCCGCCGGGGAAAAATGGCCGCCCGCTGTGTTTTCGCACCCATTCCTCGCTTACCGGGCAGCAAAAATGGCAGCCGTATGGAGGATTTTCGCTTAAAGGTGAGTTTTAAGCCCATAGGAACGCATTAAACGGGTTTTAATGCATTCCTATGGGCTTTTTCTTTTCGCATAGCGACGAATCTGGATAGCGACGATTTTTCCGGAACGGATTATCATCGCTATGCGGGGCACCACTGTATATATATTGCCTTTGCTCTGCTGTGGGAAGTAGAGGTGAACTGTGAGAAAGAAGTATAGCAAGAGAGAGGCAGAAGCTGACCCACTAATGCCTTGTTCCTCTTTGTGATTTCAGGAAAAAAGATGAAACCAAAAGGAGTTGGCGAGAGCAGAGGAGGGCCAACTTAGTGGCATCTCTGGACTTTGGGCCGGGGTGGGGGATGAGGTTCCGTGCTTCTAATTTATGACCCTTCAAAAGGAGCCGTGTGGCCTGGCCCCTTGTAAATAATGTTTGTTCCCTGCAGGTCGGCAGTCCCTGGAAGCCAAGAAAGCTGTATTTATAAACCAAGATAAAGGGACACTCCAGCCCTCGGGCCTCCATGGGGCTGGGTGGGTTGTTTGTTTGATTGTTTTCTCACATTACTGCAAGTTTGTGCCCAGTGAGGAGGGGGAATATCCGAGAAGGTTACAGGGGAAGGGGCTCGCCTGCTGCTAATCCATTTCGGAATGGGCAATGAGGAGCAGCCCACAACACATCAAGCACATGCTCCCATTCTGCCCGGGTGCTCGGTCTCTCCTGCTCCAAGGCAGGAATGACCAAGGGGTTTCTTTGATAGCTCATGAATCCTTTTGTAAAATGACCAATAAAGCTGTTTGTTACCCTGGACCTCATAAGGTGTGCTTCTCTTTCTCCCCAGCAGTGCAAACCCGTTCTCTCGGTGAATCTGGGAATACCTAGAAGGATGTACAGGGGAGCCTGTTTTACCACCCACCCCCCAACACCACCCCCAGCAAAGGGATTCTTGCCTGCCAAAGGTAGCTAGCTGCCCATTGCTCCCAAGTTTCTGAAATTAAATAGGCTTTCAGGAGCAAAGGCATTGCAAACATACTGAATGCTGCGAAATCGCAGCACTTGCCTGGCTATGAAATGCCTGCCAGTTCTTGTCCTATGGCAGATGCTGTCAAAAGCCAGCAGGCTTGCCAAAGTGCCTTGGGTGTCAGCCCAGCACATATGATGACCAGCTGCTCAGTTGCTCAGGTTGCTTGTCACTAAACGGAGCCTAGTTTGCTGTGAGCACAGCAAGCCAAAGGTCTGCGCATACACGTGTTAGCTCTATGGGGCTTTTGTAAGATTTGATACAGGACAAAGTTCAGCTGACATAGTTTAACCTGCCATTTATGCCGTTGGGTAGCGAGTGCCCCCCACCAAAAAAACCTTTCAATTTAAAAAAAATCTGTTGACGGATGTTGTGATTTTTGGCTTCCCATCTCTGCTGGAAGGGAAGGTCACCTTTCTGTTCTGCTTCTTCGCTCTTTCTTCCGCAGCTCAGCATGCACAATTTAAGCCATACACAATTTAAGCCCGTGTCAAAAACATTGCTGGCTTATTTTTGCCCCCCTTAGGCTGCTCTTGATGACGGAAGAGCGGGGATGGGAATAAAATTGACAATCTTGGTCACCTTCTCTCTGTTTCTAACCAACAGAGCTGCAAACTGCATAAGGAGATTTAAACAGATAAACGGCAGGAACACAATCTTGTGCATCTTTACTCAAAACTGTCCAGTCCTGTTTCTTTCTCAGTAAGCAGGTGTAGGGTTGCAGATGAGCAGAAAAATTCCAGGGGGTAGGAGTGATGGGGACGTGAAAGAGCGGCCACTTCCTAATTCCTCCGTCTAGGCCCTAGACTCTAGCGTCTACATACACTGTGGTTCTTGGAGAGAACCTCATCCACTTTTCCTGTTTTACTTCCTTGCTTCTCCTTTTTAAATATTTATTTCCCGTTAATCTAAAATGCCAAAAGGGAGTTTATGAGATTGACTGTTTTCTTTGTGGGAGTGGGAAAAGAATACCCTTCTGCATAATGATGGAGCTTATAAATGCTGAATTTTAGACTACCACATCCAGAATCCACCTGTCAACGTGACCATATTACCTGAGGGACTCTGGAAACTGTAATCTACAAAACTAATTGATCAAACCGTGGATTCGGAGCGGATGGGAGTTCAGAAACATGATTCTTCATACTGTTGCATGTCCCACGTTGCCAGAATCCATATCAGCATAACATTGGCTCTATCTCGATTTTTGGATAAACAACACAGAAATACAGGAAGCTGCAGTGTAATCCCTGAAATGGGAGTGATGGTGAATGCAGGGCTCCTCAGATGTTGTTGGGTGGCAGTTTCTATCTGCCCTCAGCAGCATAGCCAGTGATGGGAGTTGTAGTCCAATTGGAGCTCAAAGACACATCCTTCTGCCTTAAAGGATGCCTGGGGAGATTCTGAAAATTCCAATCCAAAAAAACAAAGAGATAAATGTTTCCAAGGTTTGGGTCTGGTCTTCAGCTAGATTCTGCAAAGAGATGGAGGAGGAATTCCCCCTCCCCATTTGCCAGGATAGCCAAGTGTCCCCCTTTACAGGGGACAGTCCTCTGTTTGAAGGCCACCTCATTCCTGGTGCATTTTCTGGACCTTGGAGGGCTGTACCCACTCCTGAAGCTCGTCCAAAATTCTTACAAAGAGGAGGGAGGGAACTAACCACTTTTGTGGCTTCCATCTGTAAAAAAGCAAAACATCCTGGGTGCAGAGGGATCCCAGGGCGAAGGGCAACACAGACACACACACACACATTGCCAAATTGCCTTCACACTCCACTTCCAAAGGGAAATTCTTGTGGCAATTGGGGGGGGTGGAAGGGGACACAAATTAAATGCTTTTGCAGGGTGTTGGCTGGCACATATTGGTTTGGAGGGGGGAAACCCTGAGAAGGGAAGGCAAAGATGCTGAAGTTGCCCAGTAACTCTGGCACATGGACCGCAGACTTGGCAGACCGCAGGTGGTCCCTTGAACACAGTCTCTCCCACATTTTAAACAACAGTATATAGTCCTTCCTTTGCGACTATAAATATACTGTATGTGAACCATGCAAACTCTTCATTGACGATGTGTTTAGAGTTTGGAGGCTAGGCAGAAGTGGGTGTTCCACTTGGGGGGGGGGAGAAACCGAGTGCCCGTTTTGCACCAGCCCCAGAATCCAAGAAAGAAGGGAGGCTCTACAATTGACCTTAGAAAAGCAACAGCTCCTCTTTTCTGGGAGATTCATACAACTGAACAGTGCCTTGAAAGGTTAATGCCGGAGCAGTGGAGGGAGGGAGGAAATCCCGTTGATTTGTTCAGAGAAGTAACGCTTCTGCTATTATTGGTCCTGCGGGAAAGTGTGGTTTCCCCAACCCCTTGACCCCTCCTGCTCTCTGCCGGTGATGAATGAGCCCGCAGTCAGGAAATCGTGGAGAAATTCTACTCAGGAAATGACATGGCTTGTTTGGGAGCAAGGAGAGAGCTGGTTGGCGAAGGAGAACGGGTCTGCGTGCCAAGAAGTACCGCCACATTATTTCTGGCCAAGCTGCTGCAAAGAGTTCACCTCTCTAGGGAATAAAACAGCAGCCATGTTTCTCTCCCCACTGCTTTCTCCGTTCGTAGTCATCAAATAACGTTCACTGGATCCTTAAGATTCTTCCCCAAACTGCTCTCCTTTCTAAGATTTTTGTTGATGTTATTTTCAAAGAAGAGAGTTGACATAATGTTGGTAAACAGTCTAGGGCTTCTGGCTTTGGGAGCAAGAATCCTGGCATCGTGGAAAACCCAACTCCAAGGCCAGCATCCAGTTGTGCCTTTCTCCTATCTTTTGCTACATCCACCACAATGAGTGGTCCTCTCTTGTTTCTGCAACCTGACACTTCGTGCTTCCTCGTTCCAGGGTGCTGGGAAACTGCATGGATCAGGTTTTGGGCACTACAGTGGGAGAGTAAGGAAGTCCCAGCTTTGCAACTGTTGGATACTAAAGTTGTCTTCTCCATTTTGATCTTCACGGCAACCCCATGAAGTGAGCTACGTTGAGCAGTGTGACCTGTTGAACTACAGCCAGGAGCAGGCTATTGCTCAACAGGTCATCATTCAACCTAGCCTACTTCAAATGGAGCGGATAAAAATGGAAAACAGAAGACCTACATACGCACATTTTGCATGCCTTCTTTCCTTGGAAGAAAGGTGTCATGAATAAAGTATGCTTCCAATGTATCTATGCTGTTTTATATGTAGGTAATCTGCAATGAAAGCTTTTCATTGCTTGAAAATCAAGGGATCTCTTCATTGTTTCAGAATCGCACAGCAGATGACTGTAAGAAGCTCAGGACTGAGATGGAGAAAAGATGGCAACTCTCGAAATAATGATCACATATTCATTAAAGCTGCTCTGGTCTTAATGATGTTTCACACCTGTGCATATATTTTATGCTGTCATTCTCTATTATTGGACTTTCTTCAATCCATGCTAAGCCTTAGCCACCCCTCTGCTAATTCTGCTGGATGTGGACTCTAGATATCTCTGATCTAAACACTTGCCCTGTTGGTACCATTGCACCCATTAATGGCAATCTCAACTGTTGGGCAGGTTGAGTTTGGAAAAATTTGGGCCTTCAGCTCACAGAATCCCCTTCTGCCATCATGGCCACCTGCACTGGGAACTACTGTGGAAAAGTAACTTCCAAACTGACACAGGTTTTCTGGAGGCCACCTGGTTCAAGTCAACAAAGAGCTTCAAACACCCCTGGCTACCAGCACTTGGCTACCATCCTGACACTTGCGTGTCAGGACGTGGTGGCGGTGCTTCCAAACTGACACAGGTTTTCTGGAGGCGACCTGATTCAAGTCAACAAAGAGCTTCAAACACCGCTGGCTACCAGCACCTGGCTACCATCCTGACACTTGCCTGAGCTAATGGCAAGCTTTGCTCATTTGAATGAACCACCTAAGTACCCAGCAGATTCACAAAGGAGGCAGCCATGCCCCCTGGCTTTTCAGCACAACATTAATGTGGGTCTGCAGCTGTGTGTATTACTAACCTCTGCCTTAGGTACTGAGAGTGCCTCCTTAAAGGCTTGCAAGGAGATTTTCGGCCCACGGCGCTGTAATCCCAGCTTCTTTCAGCATAAGCAAGGACATTTTCCCCTAGCAGAACTTGAACAACTATGGCTTGGAAACGGGGATGAGCACCGCCCCCTAGAGTCGAACACGACTGGACAAAAATTGTCAAGGGGAACCTTTACCTTTACCTTTACCTGACACTTGCCTGAGCTAATGACAAGCTTTGCTCATTTGAATGAACCACCTAAGTACCCAGCAGATTCACAAAGGAGGCAGCCATGCCCCCTGGCTTTTCAGCACAACATTAATGTGGGTCTGCAGCTGTGTGTATTACTAACCTCTGCCTTAGGTACTGAGAGTGCCTCCTTAAAGGCTTGCAAGGAGATTTTCGGCCCACGGCGCTGTAATCCCAGCTTCTTTCAGCATAAGCAAGGACATTTTCCCCTAGCAGAACTTGAACAAGGGCAGAGCTGTTTGGAAAGCAGCAGGATTTATGACTTCAATTATTTCTCTTGTGCCAAAGTCTGCTTTAATGAGCAGTGCAACAGCAGTACCTCTGAGCACAGGGCTCAGGCAGAGTCGAGATAGTTTGTCAGTGAGGCAAAAATGACCCTCTCACCCCACAGTGAGCACCGGCAGCTGAACCTTTGTTCAACACTCAAGGTGTGTCCTCTGCAGCACAGGAAGGCAGGACTGTTCCTTTGAAGGCCCGGGGTGGCTCAGTAGGCTCTTTCGCCATC